GGATGACAAAGCACTTGACAATTTCTGACTTCGTCACCCTTCTTAACTCGCCGAGCGCGCTCCACTACTCGCAAAGTGCCTACTCGCAAGTGTTCGACAAATATTTGTTCGCCTCGATGTAATATATATATCGTAAACGCGGTGGATCGAGGCCATTTGCGAGTAGCTACTTTGCGAGTAGTGGAATGCGCTTGTCTATTCACGGCATTGGCGAATCGATCCAGCTGACGCCGGTATCTCCCGCTCTCTTCAGCTGATCCTTCACGTTACGGCACTCCGACAAGCAGAATGGTAGTCCAGTGTTGCGTTTTGGCCTCTGCTGCGACCAGCTTTGTTTCGACTTTGTTCGCAGGCAGACCCGGTCGAAACGTTGATCGGCCATGGCTAAGGGATCTATTCGCAGCCTGGCTTGCGAGCCGTGCGATTAATCTCAGGAGGTCTCTAGGTTGGGTCCCCCGGTCTCTGTCGGCGGGAAAGGGAATAAACTCGTCCCTTTTTGTCGTCGTCTTCGTCGTCGTCGCGACGGACATTATTTTCCCTTCATTCTTGGGCGGGCTGGATAATGTCGGGGGATTCTTTCTCCCAGGAAAATCCATTGTTGGCGACTCTGCACGCGAGAGGAGTTGTGAGCATCTTCTCACGAGGATTGCAATCGGAAAGAGTGGTGGTTCTAGTCGTGATTGTAGTCGTGGTTGTAATCGTGACTGGACTTGCGATTGTAGTCGTGATTGTAGCCGTAATCGTAGGCATGATGATTGTCGCAACCGTAGTCGTAGTCGTCGTCGTTGTTGTGCGGCGGGTGCCGCGGAGAAACGATTATCTCCCACGAGTGGTGGGACCCCAATCCGTCAAGAAGGTCGCCAACGTATGATGGATTTCGAACATCTTGCAACTGCTGGGGGGGGCTCTCAAGACCTGTCGAGGTCAGGGTCGGATGCCAACTGGTTGACGATGGGTGCCCGACGTGCGGCCAGTCTGGCGGTGCCCCCTTTCCACAGGCTGTGGACATGCCCGTGCTTCGACGCCGCTCATTGGAGAGATCCGGTCAAGGCGTCATCGAGTCGGCTGCCGCCGCTGGTCCGCCCGTCCCACGGGTGGGGGCAGGGGCAACCAGGGCAATCAGAGAGAGGGCCCAGGTTCCCACGGTGACAGCAGACCCAAGGTGTGGCGGGCGACGTTTGGTGAGGGAAAGTGTTGCAGTCTTTGGGATTTCGGAGTGTTTCCGCTGCGGGCTACGGTTTGTCCCTGCTTGACGACGCCGGCCAGGCGGGTGTGCCATTTGTGCCCTTCTAGGTTGCCACTCTCCTGCAGACCCCCAGCGAGGGGAGCTCGCCAGCCTGGCTGGGTCGGAATGGCGGCTACAGCGTTGGCAAAACCGTAGTCGATCTGACCATCGCCCCCCAGGGACCTCCAGCTGTCTTACAGCACGTCGCATGCTGGGCTCGTGTTGCATTACCGTTTCGGCTCGGACTCGGTCTCGTCAGTCGCCAAAGTGTCGGCGGCGAGCGAGGGGGGGGGGGGCAGCGAGAGGGGGCGGACCTTCTCAGAGGGCTCGGAAGTCCCCAGGCCTTCTGGGGGGGGGGAGCGAGAGGGGGCGGACCTTCTCAGAGGGCTCGGAAGTCCCCCGGCCTTCCGAGAAGGTTTCTGCGCCTTCCCCGAAGCCACGGAGGCAACCTCGCGGAAGGCGCGAGGGCGTCCGAGAGGCTTTGCCGCCTTCTGCGGGGGCTTCCCCTTCTCGCTGCCCCTCCTCGCTCGCCGCCGATACTCTTCCTCCTCCTCCTCCTCCTCTTTCCCCTCATCCTCTTCCTTCCTCCTCCTCCTCCTCCTCCTTTTCCCTCCTCCTCCTCCTCCTCCTCCTCCTCCTCCTCCTCCTCCTCCTCCCCCTCATCCGCTTCCTTCTCCTCCTCCCCCACCTCCTCCTCCTCCTCCTCCTCCTCCTCCTCTCCTCCTCCTCCTCCTCCTCCTCTTCCTCCTCCCCCTTCCCCCCCCCCCCCCCTACGGAGTAGATCTTGGCTGTCTTTGGCGCCTGTTTCAAGCAGGTGGGGTCTCCCCCATAGGACGCATTGTTGCAGACAGTCGCACTGAGCAGAGGTCTGGAGCCAGAACCCCCCACATCCCCCCTTTTTTCGCTCAATGTCGAAACGCCGAATCAGAAAACGTTAACTTTCTTCTATCGGCTTCGGATGACAGCTTCATTACGGTACGTCTGACGTGCCTTTCTTGTTCTTCCGGAGGCCGTCTTCGATGATTGGCCAGGAAATTCGAACCAGCCCCCAAAAGTTCGTGTTGCAGTGTCTTCTAGATTTGTAAATGTAAACATTCAGAGAGAAAGGACCTCATCATAGAGGGGCGACGTTGGCGATGCTCTAATATTTTCGCCAACACAATCTCCCGAGTTGGCACCTCTCCGCCCGCGGCCCTCGCGCGGCAGATACAACGACGCATCCCCGCTGGAGAGCATGCACAGCGCGAGGCTCTTCGAACTGCTGGGCGATCCGCGGAGGGGCCTGGGGCGCGCGTGGACCTCTTCGCCCTCCGCCTCTCCCAGATTCCCCCTCCTGCTGCTGCTGCTGCTGCTGCTGCTGCTGGTGATGGTCTTGCTACGTGTGTAGACAACGAGTTACCTAAGAGATGAGCTTGGATAAGGAATCGAAGAGCAACTCTCCCTACTCCTATCCCCCTGTTGGCCCTTCCCCCCTTTCTCGCGCCTCGGGTGCTGGTCGCCTTGGAACGGGTCATGAGCATGCAGCTCATGAGGAGGCTTACGTCCTCGCCTTTCGCACCAGGCCTTCCTCGAGCAGGACAGCCACCAACGGATGAGCACTTGCTAGAGTAGGTCAAAGAAACAGAGTGAGAGCATAAGTGAGGCACTGCACGGAAAACAGATCAGGATATACAATCTTAGCTCAAACATGCGACATATTATAAGTGCTATGCTTAGCGTGGCAATGCTGATGCCACTGATCGCACACATAAACAGTGAGGACATGGATGAGCTAAGCTGCAACTCAAGTTCAATAATCTTTGCAGCAGGAGTGACAAAAGAGGGGGAGGAACACAGACATGCTGCTGCTGTTGCTGCTGCTGCACCCGCCCTAAGAAAGTATGCAGCAGCAAGAATTGCACCGTGCACTATGATGCCTGCGGTCCATTGGGCAGAGCGTCGTGGCACGCGGCAGCATGTCAAAAGAAATAAAATGATATCCATCAAGAGAGCAAGCGGTAGCCATATTATGGCAGCAAGTCTGACGAGTCGGCGGCATCGTCGTCTGATAAATCTGTATGTTGTACTCGCCATTGCTCAGAGTCCCTTAGTATGCTTGTAGATCTGTTTCACTTTCGCTGCCTTGTCACGGCCCGTTTTTTCTGAGAGGTTATTTGATTTCAGAATGCCATTCAGGACGGACTGGGTGACTTCTGGGATCACTGTGAGCTTAGCCGTCCAGGTCTCAATGTCCGTGGGCCAGGAGTCTACTTCTGTGCCATCAGGAGTAACTGATTTTGCCATTACACTCATTTGCTCAGGTATCTTGCCATCGTCCTCAACAGGGATTGGGGCTGCAGCAGGTTCATCTCCAGGAAGGCGTATCTGGCGTTCACTCATGGCCGCTGCTGGCAAAGAGCTTGGGCCTGCCTCGTGGTGGCCCTTGTCACCAAGCTCCTCGGCTGCCTGCATGCGCACCTGCTTGTTATCAGAACGCTCATTCAACATCTTCTTCATGCTCGCCAGGGTCTTCACGCGGTCCGTGTTGTTGGGGATCTTCTTCATCAGGGCCTGGTACTCCTTGAAGAGGTCATCCTTGTCGTCGTCGTCGTCATCACCGAAGAGGGGGGCCTTGTCCTCGATGTCATCTTTCTGCGAGGAGCCCATCATCTTACTGAAGATTCCTACCATCGTTTTCTTCTCCTTTGCTTTCTTGAGCGCCGGTTTAGCACGCTTTGCTTTGATCATCATGCTAATCTGCTGCATGGTGGGTCCTGAGCTGCTTGTCGTACTTGCCGAAGTACGTGCTGAGGTAACACTGCTTGACGACTCATTGCTGACGGTGGGTTTCAGCACGCGCTTGGTCGCCATCTTCAGGAAGCTGAACGGTACACTTTTGGCCTTGTCGTTTTTCTTTATCTTCTTCTTTTTCTCATCATTCTTCTTGTCTTTCTGAGGGAGGCTGAAGCCGATCATGTCCAATACGGTATCACGAATAGAGTCACGCCATGCCTTTTTTCTAAGTTTTTTCTGCTTTTTCATTCTCACGTTTCCAGAAGATGTCCGCCATGTTGCGCGAGTTCTGGAGTTCATCATGTACCCAAGCGTCACGATATTGTGTCTGGCTTGGGGGCCTGGGCCGGTACTGCTGCTGGTAGTTCTGCTGCTGGTAGTTCACGTTGCGGTGCGGCTGCTTCCCGTCGTAGCCCTTGCCCTTGTTGTTCCTGCCCTTACATGTGCCACCTCCGTCACTGCGGCCGAACATAGCAAACGGATGCTCTGCTGGGACGGTACAGTAGCACTGGTTGGGTCGGAAACGTGAACGTATGCAGGCGAGGTTAGATCGGCAGAGGCTACGGAGGGGACGAAGGGTTGAGGAGCGATAGATAGAGTGTGGAGAGGTCAACTTGTAGACCCCGTCTCCAGGCTCTTGGGTCCCCAGGGTAACTGTGCCTATCACACGTGTGTTTTGCCAGCTCTTTCCCAAACTTGCGAATGACGGAGATGTAGGCTGACATGTGGCGCCGAGGGACCGATCGGATGCATCTCCCCACCAGGCTAGCTGGCCAATCACAGGCCAACAATTCAGTGGCCAAATCAATTGTGGCTGTGCTAGCTCGCTGCGGGTCTCCTTCACACATATAGTTGTATGTAATAATGCGCTCCCAAACCTTGGCGGCAAGATATACATGTGGAATGCGACGTGGGAGCGAGAAGAAGGCCGGATATTTGGCAAACTTAGGGGCATCCTGATCTCCACATGCAAACTCATGATTGGCTGTGAATAGAACCCGTGTAATACCCTCATATATACTCCTTATCCTCACCTCTCCTGCGCCTGGCCGTTTGGGCTCAGGTATTGGGACAGATCGATCAGACCTTTGATCGTGCAGGAGGGAAAGACATCCATCTATCCCTCCTTCCCTCTACCAACGGATCAGGGGTTCTGTACCCTTGTACTTCAACCCCATACACAGGTTATCAGCCCTTTAAAGCTCACCGTTCATCGAACCCCGCGTCGCGACCTCGCACGCGGCCTCGATGGAACCCAATCGGCGCATGCGCTGCAAGGGGTCCATCGGGGCCTCGCGTACGAGCTCTCCGACGGCGCGACGGCTCGGTGATGAGTTGGAGAGCCTTAGTGCGGACTGCGTTGGTGTCCCAGGTACTCCCCCCCCCAGCTCCGACGGACCCGAGGCGCGGCTAGCTGCTGAACTTCACCGCAGCGCCGCCCGCGGGGGACAGGAGAAGGAGTAGGAACAGGAAGGGAGGAGTTTCACACGCCTACCTTCGATCCTCCATCTCCTCCTCAGTCGGGAGCAATCCCTAGTGCGTCAGGCGAAAGCCTCACTGGTCCTGATACTCCAGGGCGCTTTCGCGCTAACCGCCGATGGACCTCAGGTGCTGGTACCCCCAGCCCTGCGACCGTTCCTGTTGCGGAGCACGTAGCCACCGTCGAGGAACTCAGTAGACCAGTGGCGGCACAGCCGCAGACGCAGCACCCCAAGATATCATCGGATGAGACACCACACACACATGGTCCGAGTCGCAGCTCGCCCGCGCGCAACCGTCGTGGGGCCCCAGGCCCATGCGGCGAGAGTAGGTCGAGCCCGCGTATTGCCTCTCAGAGGCCATGCACTCCCCGTGACAGGGGACACAGGGAAGCTGACGCCCCCCACCTCTCCATCTCAGACGACCAGCTGGCGGAAACGTCCGCCGCAGGTGAAATAGCTGAGCTCAGAGACCAGGTTGAAACCTTCGTGTCCAGGCAATACTCTGGACTACTGCAGAGCGTTCAGACGAACGCCGCCGATACTGCAGCCATACGCCACGATCTGGACGGCGCCTTAGCGATCATTGATTCCAGGATCGCCGAAGATCGACGCATCATAGGTGAACTGCAGTACCAGGTTGATCGTGAGGTGTCACGCTCAGGTGAACGAACGGCGATGGTCGAGAACCTGCGCAACTACCTCGCGCAGATGAGCAACAGCTTGTGCTCGTACGCGACACAGGCGTTTCAGCAGTCAGGTTCTTACACGATGAGATCCACGACCAGCTCCGCAACCGACCAACACCAGCCGAGGCCACCGACCTTGGCGACGTTCAGTCTCAGATCGATGATCTTCGATCCTACCTAGGCCACACTACGGCGACGCTTCGCAACGAAGCGCACACTAACTCGTCGAACCTGATCGACATGTTGCAGCGTACTGAGAGAGTCATCACTCAAAGGCTTGATGCGACCAACGCTGTCGTGCAGCCACTAGCTAACCGGATCTCTGAAATCGAGCAGCGTTTTCCTGATGTACAGGACGCCCTGGCAGAGTTGCGTGTCGGACGAGCCCAGACTGGCCAGCTGGATTCTCCTCCCACGGTTTACGATTTCGCCCGCCTCACTGACAGGTTGCAGGAGGTCGAGAAGGCGGCGGACCACACGCAGTTGGAGCTCTCCCAGGTTATTCGTGAGAGAGATACTGAGAAGGTACGTGTTGAGGGGCACCTCGCACGTCTGGAAAGCGAGCTGGAGGCACAAAGCGCCCGTCTCCGAGCATACGAGCAACGACTTGATCGGCACTCACAACGTTCTCGGGGTACTGATGAGTACACACGCCAAAAGGTGGCCCAAATACACGAAGACATGACGAGCTGGACGAATCAGCTGATCGACCACACCAACGACACCAATCTCCACCTTCGACCTGCAACCGACCCGCACAGGCCGACAGCAGCGTCCGCCGAAGCACCACAAGCTGCTGCAGGACAACAACGACGTACGTCACCAGGAGCAGCCTCCGCGGCAGCTTCTGCGCAGACACGCCATGTGTCTCCTGTGCGCACAGAACCGACTACTGACGGTGTACCGATACCCTCACAACCACTGTCTGCGGTTTCGGTCCATACTACAACTCCTATCAAGGAGTCAGACACCGTCCGAGCCCCTGTCTTGCCTAAGATCACGCAGCTGCTCGAGTGGCAGCAAAAGGTACGGAAGAACTTTGGGGCCGCCTCAGGGCGACCATCCAAAGCATATGCCTTCCTATGCGTGGCTGAACAGCCCGAATGTACATTCGAGGACTTACAAGACAGTGGAGACTTTGAAAGCTCGATTGCAAACTTGCGCTACCAAATCAGGCTCATCGAAACCAGAGAGCACAAAGCAGGACGCATGCTCAAATGGCGCCAGATCTACTGGCACATCCTACAGTCCTACAAAGTGACAGAGGTTGATGACGACCTGCACGACTTCGAGCGCCTTAAAGAACTGAGGATGAGAGATGACGATCTGCAACGGT